CATGTGAAGGACGTCGCAGCCTGGATATGCCAATCACATTGCTGCGGGTGTTCCATCCAACAGATTGCGCCTACTGTGAGGTGCGCGGTGAATAGTGTGACCATCGCTCCTAACAACGCGCTTCCTACCCTCGCCTGTTCCCTCTGTCGTGATGCCAGTGATAATTCCCCCAATGCTCATCATGCGTCCGTAGTTGTGGTGGGCCGCTGCCGTCAGCACACCTCGCGGCAGACCGGGTCTCACAAGGTGGGCCCCTCTCGACAAAACGACCCGCTTCGCCAACACGTGTCCCCTCCATACGGCGAGTGAATCAGCATTCGTCATATCTCCAAGCGTCACATGACTAGTTGTGTCAGAAGAGAGCACGATGACTGCATAGTCGGTAGGGTAGTGCGCCCACCCCACCTGTGCCTGAATGTCCGCTCCCCACCGTCGACAGTACAGGTTCACTACCAAGTATTCTTTCCGACGCACTGCACACGGGATAGGGTCGGCTGCAACCCCCGTACACCGTTCCGGGAGAAGCCAGGATATTTTCCCGTGTTCGGATAGGTTGGGTTGTCGTCGTCCGGCGGCGGAGCTGGCACCGGTGGCGGCAGCGGTAGGCATTGGGCATCCGGATCTGTCGCCGCCAAACGTTCTCTCGCCTCCTGCTGCATCAGTGTCGCCATGATTCGCTCTCTTTCGGGCTCCATGGGGTCCGCAGCTCCGCAGCCCTCATGGATGGGAACACCACATGCCGCCTCGAAATCCGAACCCCGCCTATGATCAAGCTCTCCAGGGTCCCCACATCGGCATGAACCACATGATGCACTGGATTCTGCCGCGTAGTAAGCCGGACATACAGACATCCCGTCGGGTCCGAAGCCAAAGGGTCAATTTGATGAGCCCGACTGTGAGTCACTAGTAGGCATGCCTGACATCGGCCATCTGGATGCGCATGTGCACGTGCCAGTTCGGTCGGTTTGCGATGCGTGCGTTCCACATGTACCCGATACGCTGTATGGTTGCGAAACTCCCTAGCACACCGCGGGCACGCTGTGGCTTCGCTCCTGTCATTACCCGTACCGCCAGTGCAGCAGGTCTGACCATGTCTGCAGCGTTTGCGTGCGTGTCTACCTGTGCTTGCGCGCGCACTGCCTGCCCTAGCAACTGTTTCCATGCTGACGGACTCCTCTTGGCAGGTGCATCCCAGGGCCTCATGTCTGTTCGCGGCGGCGGCAGCTCGGCACAGGTGGTGTTGGCAGAGCGAAGCCAATCTGGGTCTCCAAGCAAGAGACCCACCCATGTCCATGACCTCGCGGGCGTCACTGTCGCTGTCCACTCCGCTCTCAGCAACGCAAGAGCGACGATGGGACCACTGACCAGCAACGATTCGTCCAGTCGTAACCTTGTTACCCGCAAGAGTAATGTCGTGGAGTTCTGCCAGCACCATCTGGTCGGACACACATGACTCGTTCTCCACATGCCTTACACGGGCAGCCGCACGATACACCTTCATGACATCGATCCACGGCGGTTTCGCTTACCCGCTTGACAAGGCAGCCCAGGCACCAGCATTACACAAACTCCCCGACATGACCTACTATCTGCAAACAGCATCGGGCACGACATTGACGATGTATCGGTGGCAAGCATACGTCTGCGCAGCGTCTGCAACGATACAGTTGCGGCACTCGCACGGTGCCGAAGCTCAGGCCTCATGACCCCTCCTTGGTCGATGACCGAACCCAAGTGTACGTAGTTGCGTTCCAGAGGAGCTGTTCATGGGCCAAGCAAGTTGGACGTCGCTTGTAGTGTGCCACCGTGCTGCTGCCAGATGACTCGCTTTGCCAGCTTGGCCCCAGGAGCCCTCAAAGAAATGCTTGCACCCGCATTTCGCAAGCACACCGTTGACTAACACTATCACCCGACACAGGCCGCCAGATATGTATATATTTACATGTATATATGTATGCATATGTGTACGCACATACATCTACATGTGCATGCATACATATATGTATATATATATATATATATGTATATAAGTATATACATATATATACTGCTTGTTGTCAGTACCAGCCTTACCGTTCCATCACCAGCGAGCGCAACGTCCACCAATGGTGCTGTGATAATGGCGTCCGTATCTGTGTATATGTTCGCGATGTTGCGGCTGTCGTCACATAGCAGACCATGTACACGACCTGCTGTTACGAGCATGCTGCGCATGGTGCTTTTGAATCGTCATCAGCCTCTCGTGCAATCTCTCAGCCAGGGGTTGTCTCAGGAACACTGATATCAGGCAGGGATACCTGTCCTGACCAATCGTAGAGAAACCATGGTGCGTGGTTGCAATGTTCTACTTGACATACCACATGCGCATCCGCATTTGTGCGTGCCAATTACGTTCCATGCCCTTGTAGTCTACGCGGAAGCTCGATAAGAAGGGATGGAGGGAGGGAGGGAGGGAGGAGGGGGAGGAGTATGATAAGGAGGATCTGAGGGTGATAAGTGTTGCTCCCGCCCCAGACCCTGCCCTCCGAAGGGCTGGTCCCAAGAGGCCAGCAAAAAAGGGGCAAGCTCGGACGGGGCCAGGACGAGGATAACCCCTTCCAGAACGCTCTGATAAGGCCGCGGCGCCCGATGCATCCTCCAGAGCCGCCAGATCTCCGAGATACTCGCTTTATTCTCACGCGAACTGATCAGCGTCATTGCTTCGCCTGAGGACTAAACCTCAAGAGGCCAGCAACACGAGAGCAGGCACGCCCAGAGAGCGTTCGTGGAGGCATCCGGGGGCCTCCCTGCGCCACCGTCGAGGGCTGAGGGCAGCGCGCCACAAGGCCGAGAGGAGGAGGAGGAGGAGGAGGAGGAGGAGGAGGAGGAGGAGTGCAAACCCAAGACTCATCAACGATGCTGTAATACCTCTTCCATTCTCAGGACTTCAAGGCCACGAGTTAGCCTGACTGCCACGTCTTGGCGATCCTGAATCGCGCTGGAACACCGTTCTGGGGATTCGACACCGCGAATCAACTAGACTGTCGCGCCCACATTCCCGAATCGTTCTAAAGCTCCGTTTTCGGTATGCAAACCATGAGAACCGTTGAAACTCTTGCAGCCGTTTCAATCGAATATGCGCGGCGCTAGAGCGAGAGCCAAAGTTTGAAAAGGAACCGCCCCCCTCAATCCGTGAAACTCTTGCAAATGTAAAAAAACGGATGTGCTCGGCGCTGAGGCGAGAGCCACATTTTGAAAACGAACCGCCCTCAACCCGTTAAACGCTTGCTCTTGCAAATGTTTAAAAAAACAGAATGTGCTTGGCGTTGGGGCGAGAGCCACATTTTGAAAGCGAACCGCCCTCAACCCGTGAAGCTCTCCCGAATGTTTGAAACGAATGTGTCCGGCGCTGGGGCGAGAGCCACATTTTGAAAACGGCCCGCCCTCAACCCGTGAAATTCTTGCAAATGATTAAACAGAATGTGTTCGGCGCTGAGGCGAGAGCCACACTTTGAAAACGAACCGCCCTCAACCCGTGAAACTCTTCCAAGTGTTTAGAATGAATGTGTTCGGCGTTGAGGCGAGAGCCACATTTTGAAAACGGCCCGCCCTGAATCTGTGAAACCCTTGCAAATGTTTAAGACAAATGTGCGCGGCGCTAAGGCGAGAGCCCCATTTTGGAAGCGGCCCCCCCTCCATCCGGTGGTCTCATCAGGGTCTCGGGGTGCGAAACGGCCTCGGGGTAAGGACTGAGGAGGAGGGGGAGAAGGAGGAGGAGGAAGAGGAGGAGGAGGAGGAGGAGAGGAGGAGGAGGAGCAGGAGGAGGAGGAGGAGGAGGAGGAGGAGGAGGAGGAGGAGGAGGGAAGGAAGGAGGCGGACGAGGAGAAGGAGGAGGCGGAGAAGGGGGGGGACAAAATGAGGAGAGGAGGAGTGGGAAGAGGAGGGGACGGCGGAGGAGGGGGGAGGGGGAGGAGGAGGAGGAGGAGGAGGAGGAGGAGGAGGAGGAGGAGGAGAGGAGGAGGAGGAGGAGGAGAGGAGGAGGAGGAGGAGGAGGAGCAGGAGGACGACGAGAATGGGGAGCAGGAGGAGGAGGAGGAGGTGGAGGAGGAGGAGGAGGAGGAGGAGGAGGAGGAGGAGGAGGAGGAGGAGGAGGAGGAGGGGAGGAGGAGGAGGAGGGGGAGGAAGGGGGAGAGGAGGAAAAGAAGGAGGATCTGCGGGCCGGACGGGACCGAACCCGCCCGGCCCAGGGGCCCGTCGCTGAAGGACCCAGAGCGGATCGTCGTCGACTTCGACCTGAGGTGCGGGGCACGGCAAGCAATCGGCGCGGCCGTTTTTCGATCGATTCTCAATCAGGCACTGGTAATCACCGCCTCCCAGCCTCTGCGGCTCCAGTTCGGACGAAGATGGGCCTCGGGGCGGCCTGGCGGCGGTCGAACACCGCCATCCACCCGCCTCCGGGCGCCCCCTGCGTGCCAACGGTCTGGGAGGGCGGAAGGAGACGGGCGCGCCTGCCCTGGTGCGCGGGCACAGGGTGTGGCGGGAGGCTCGACCGCCCTTTGTTGTCCTCCTCCCTCTCCTTCTCCTCCTCCTCCTCCTCCTCCTCCTCCTCCTCCTCCTCCTCCTCCTCCTGCTCCTCGATCCTCGATCATAACTTGTTCTTCTCATCCTCAACCTGTTCTCTTCCTCCTCCTTTTCCTCCGATCCTCGATGCTCGATCTTCTTCCCCCCCCCCTAATCATCCGTCTCCCTCTTCCTCCCCGATCCTCCTCTCCTCCCTCTTCTCTCTCCCCTTGCTCCTCCTCCTCTTCCTCCTTCCCGATCCGATGCTCCCCGATCCTCTCCCCCGCACCCCGATGGAGGGCGGGGGGGCCGGGAGCCAAAGGTCCGGCGTTGCGCTGCTGCCGACGCAGATCTCACCGAGCGGCTCGTGGTCGCTGCTCGGGCGCGCCGTGGCGGCCTCCACCGGCGTGCGGGCGACGACGACGCCGTGCGGCCGGCTGGGCTGGGCGCACCTGCCCTAGAAAGAGTGAGGCTTGCAGACGTCCCCGCCCCCTCCGCTGCTTCGTCTGCCCGCTGCCTATCTCCCTCCTCGGATTCGAGGAGGGAAGACCAGATCGAGAGGCATGACGGGAGGTATGCAGCCCTAGATTTCGCCGTTTGGGCGAGCGCACGATCGGATTGCATGGTTGCACTCCGTTATCCTCGTCATTCCTCCTCCTCCTCCTCCTCCTCCTCCTCCTCCTCCTCCTCCTCCTCCTCCTCCTCCTCCTCCTCCTTCTCCGCCGCATCCATCCATTAATCAAGAGAGGAAAAAACACCCCGACCCCGACAACTGGCGGCCACGGAACAGGCCTGGCGTGTATTACTGAGCAGCCCTGCCCTGTTTGCCTCCTTCCTCGGGTGCGTCTGCTGGACGGCTTCGCACGTCGGGGTGCTTGCTGCGGGAGTGGATGTGCTGCTCTCTCTCTCTCTCTCTCACAGGGCATCTCGGCGCGCTCCGTCGCCAAATCGGGCGGCGCTAGCCTCATGTGTGTGTGTGGGGGGGGGGGGCACCCTCCTGGAACCAGATTCGCATGTGCCCACGCGTGGCGTAGGGGAAACACACACACACACACACACATCGAAGAAACGGTGGCTATGTCCTGTTTCCGGGGGGGGGCCTCGCCAGGCCCCGGGGCCGTCCACAGGGAACAGCTCAGGGCGAGAATGCCTCCGGGGGTGCACGCGTCGAGTACGTCAACAGCGTCGGGGGTGTGGCCTCCCCAAAGCTCACGCGGGGGGGGGTTCTGTCCAGGGTTCCGAGGCGAGTCCAGCAGTGGTGGCGAGGGCTCTCCAGGACGCCCACGGAGGCAACCAAAACGTGAGAGGGGGAGGGGAGGGGGGGGTAGCGGCATCGGTATCTTTCCCACATCCAGTCCCTCTGGCTTCTCCTCATTCTGTTCCATTCTGATCGCCAGAGAACGCTCGAACTCGTACAGGGGGTTCGAGTCAGGGGCAATAAGATTCGGAGAGGAGACCCCTCAGGCTGCTTCGAATTCGGGGCTTGGTGGTCACCATCTTGGCCCAGCTCTGCACAGATGGCCCAACGCTCAGCATTGCACCCTGGGAAGAGGCAGTGACGGTTTTTGGCCGTGCGCAGTCCCCACGGGAAGA